CGTCCGTGCAAGTACCACGATCTCACAGACGACTGGTCTGGTGAGTGAGGTGGCCGGAGCCTAAGTTTCAAAAGGTTGTCAACGCATCTGTAACCCTCGGGTGTAGCAGATATCAATGGGTGGCGGTATTCACTTAACATCAGGTGAACTGTCTGCTCGCTTGGCAACTTTTCACATTAAAAAAAAGGAGGAAGGAGGTGTTGAGTATTAAAAAAATACATAAATTATTGTGATATTCAATTCCATACATCATTATGAAGTTTCCGATGATCAATATGCCTCCGTATCAGTTCGGTGAATTATTGTTAATAAGCTATACGAAGAATTAATTAGAGCAAGTAAATAATAATCAATTCGCAAAATAAATTAACGTAATTTACCTACCTCAGTTTACCGAAAGAAATCTTTTTATCGGCTTTCAGTAATTGATAACATTTTCTCCGAAAATCATTAATAACATCTTATTCTAGAAAAACAGTAAAGTTTTTAAATAATGATTACTTATTGACATTCATTAATGAGGTAGGTATTCCTGCACAGTTGAATACAAATATTCATGGGCAGTACCCAAAAAACCCGTTATCAATTGAATTTTGAATGTCTCGACTAAAACTAAATCGACTTAACTTTATTAAAAGGCAACGCATCTGCAACCTTACGGGAGTTGCTAATGTCCATGAGCTGCGGTTATCGCTTAACATCAGGCGATCCATCAACTCGCTTGCCAACTTTTAACAAAAAAAAAGTTGAAGAAAACTAAGATTTCTTTTTCTTGGCGAGGTGACCATTTCGAACCTCTACCTCGATCCACTGCGTACAACGAAAAACCGACCAAGTGCGACTCGGACTCGAATCTATAAAAATGGCAAAAAACATGTCTGTTGTATGGGAGCCCCACCTAAATATTTTTTTTTGTTTTTTAGTATTTGTTTTTAAAGCGGCAGCAGAAATACATGATTAGGGAAAATTTCTACTGTCTAACTATCACGGTTCATGAGATACAGCCCGGTGACAGACGGACAGACAGACAGACAGCGGAGTTTAAATAACGGGCTCCCGTTTTACCCTTTGGGTACGGAACCCTAAAATTGTGATGCTTCGTAACTATGGGAACTTAAATTTATCCCTAAATGGCGAATAATGACTTTCTGTTAATAAGAAGTTTCTTTAGTTTGGACTAGAACCAAAGACTTTTGCTCCTCTTTCAGGTCCCAGAGCTTGCTTAATTATGTCCTTCGGGGATATCAACTCAAAGGGGAAATTTTAATAAGAAACTGCGAAGAAGACGGGAGCCGCCGTCAAAGGGCAGGTGCGTGTTAGCTTAAAAGAATAAAAATAGCGACATCTAGCACAACAATGGCCCGGTGAAAGTAAATGAGTTCTTTTATTATGCATTGTTGCTGGCCGCTTTATTAATTCCGAGAACGATGGGTTGTTGACAAAACTTTTTAGATGATAGTCATTAAGACAAGTCTAAAAATGCTTTGCGACATTCTAACACAAAGTCCGAAATGTATTCACAAACGAAAACTATCGTAAACAAATAGTAAATACAATTTGAATTTTACACTCCTGACATTACAAATACTTTTTTTTACGTGAGCAGATGGCTAGCGAGCTGGCGTTTCACCTGATGTTAAGTGATAAACATCGCCCATAGACATTTGCAACATCCGTTAGGTTGCAGATGTGTTGTCACCTTGTAATAAAATGGGCTCCGACTACTTCACTCACCAGACGAAAAGCAAAAGAATAACCCTTCCATTTCACGCCGGTCTTCTGTGAGGTCGTGGTTCTTCTCGGGACGCGCCTTCATGAAACAGACGCTCTTGCGTGGATCTACGACAGTCCGCGATGTATTAGTTTCTACTTGCTTGTAGACGGGGATTAACTACACAGAATTATATGCTATCACCACACGTGGGTGAAGCGTTGGGGGAATGGATTTAATATGTGACGTATCAGTTATTCGCTGTGAACAATGCCGTCTTAGCCCATATCGGGCCACACAAAAATATGGAGCCCTGATGGAACGTAAAAGAGGTGAATAACCAAAACATTTTTCTGCTATTATCTTATTTTTTTATTCATTGTATACACTTTAGTCGGAATATATCGACTGAAAAATTGTATAGTTTAAGCGATTACGTAGACCATGCGGGGCCCCTGTGGCGACAGGGGCCATGGGCAAGGCCCCGTGTGCCCTTATGGTAAAGACGGTACTGAGTGTGACACCAATACTTTAATCAAAGAAGAAGTAAACAGTGACTAAACGTAGTTAAATAAAGGCGTCATCGATTAATAAAAAGACAGATAAGTATGCGCCTGACACCGTTCTGAAGATAATATCTTCAGAACGGTCTCGTGCCGGTTGATCCTAGCCTGTATTCTTTCAGGCGCTTAACATTATATTGAAATGTCAGCGCGCCGAAAAAACTTTATTTCTTTCTAATTTCGAAGTCAAAGTGACAGAAGGGCACCACGGTCGTAGCCTTGCATCGCAAGTTAACCCTCACAAGTACGTAATACATATCGGAAATTATTACCCAAATAGCTTGTACAGTGCATTTGTTTGTGCTGTGAAATGTTTTTAAAATAGGCTCCGACTAACCTTCCGTTCCGATCTCTTAACAAACTTTTTAAAATAAAAAGAAAAGTTGTACTCTTTGATGATCCGTGTAACATAGTAATATTAAATTTCAATGGCAAATTTTAAATCCATCAACTAACGCGCGTTCTACGAAATTGCTTTTATTAACCTATAATAAAAATGCATGTACAGGTTTTGTTCACAATTCAAGGGTACATAAGTAATAAATGATATGTGAATGTGTTTGATCAGTCTATTTGACCTTACTATAGAGTACTATTTTATGTTGCATGAGCCTTGATCTGAACAAAATTTTAATGTGTTCTAGTACAATACATTGTTAGCAAAATTTAATACATAAATTAAAATCATTTTCCTACAATTTCTCGTGTAAGAAAATAAAAAAAATGCGTTATCTATGATAATTCTAGAAAAAAGACTTGATATAATGTAAATATATGAATCATAGAATAAACACAAAATTAATGTTGAGAGTTCATTAACGACACGGTTCATTGTTACGAGAATTTGGCTCATTAAAATTTGAGTGACTGGTATTCGAGTTGTATTGAATTAAAATTTAACGATTTGATGGCCATTAAACGTTTAATAAGTAATGTTTTAAATTTAAAAAAAAAAGCAAATATCACTGAAGTTGAACACGGTTTTCCTGATGGCGAAGGACTGCAACCGTACGTGGATATCCGGAACCCAATTGGTTGGAACGTGAAAGATAAGCATAACGACCTCTTCATTGTGTGTGGGGTGATTTGTAGAAATGGGCAATTTTAACCTTTGGCAAATCCAATTGTTAGTAAACGAAAATACTTTTACAAGCTTATAGCAGCGAAATTAACTGCGTGATTTTTTTATTGTACCGAACGAATTTTGTCGCCGATGTGTTCTTATCAAACTTTTTTAAAGGTGCAGAAATTATAACTTCAATTCAACTTACGTAATGAATTTATTATAATCTAACTGGATAAATTTGTAAGTAATGATCAGTAAATATATACAATCGTACTTGCAAATCAGCGGTTGTTCATGCATAAGATATGCAAAGGTACCTCTTGACATACTATACTCGTAAATCTCAACAACAAGTGTCAGTGACAGTATTTCTCACATAATTATTACTCGGGTGTGTGTGAGATTATTGCAATAGTGTTTACGCCAAATTTATTATCAGTGACAATAAAACTTGTTGTTAATATGTTGTTATTTGTTTTGTTTAACAATTTATTTAAACGGTTAAAAGTGGTTTACACATTATGGCTATTTCTATAATATTATAGTAGGAAAGAGTTTAAGTTACTTCTTCTTTTTTATTTAGGAAAAATAAATATAAATAAATGTGACTAGATCTACTTGAGGACTTGACTATAAAATCCACTTGTATGACGAATCGGGTTCTTGTAAATGGTTTTTACTCAGTTGAAGCTGAAACGGCTGAAGGTAACATATTTTGAATTCTTTACAAACTAATTTTTGTAGTGTGTAGTTAACCTGTCTATTGCTCCTGGATTTGATCTGAAGAACTTGAAAACATTTCGTTTTGCGAGTGGGTAGCCGGAGCCCACTATATTGTAAGGTGTAAACGCAGCCGCAAACCTACGGGTGTTGCAAATGTCAATGGGCGGCGGATATAACTTAACATCGGGTGAACCGCCAGCTCGTTTACCGCCTTCTCACATGAAAAAAAAAAACTTTTTTTCTCTCTAGCTGTAATTCAGCATAATTCTGTCAAATTTTAAATTCGTCAAAGATAAATCAATGAAAACTGTACCATCTTTCAGGTTTTGTCTGAGTGTACATTTAGACGAAACCTAAGAATATACATTTTCGCTTTGGCGGCGTTCACAGAATACTGGCTTCGGCTTCGGGTGCCGTAGGTTCGATTCCCACTCGGGAAAAGTACTTTGTATGACCTACAAATAATTGTTCCGGATCTCGGTGTTTGTTCCCCAGGGAGAGTTGACGTCAGTCAGGCGACTGGTCGATAAAAAAACATTGCCGAAACCGCTTACAACACGAAACCCATGTTGTGCCGACCCCACTTAGGTGGGATAAGGGCAGGTGGATTATGATGATGATGGTTTATATATTTTTCATTTTTATTTATCTCGTTAAAACTACCTTTGCCTTCGTAATTGTTAAAGTATATAAGATAACCCTCATGTTCTGTATGCAAAACATTTTCCTTGCGAAACGAAAAATGTTAAGATATTCCGCCTTGTAAAGACAACAAAGGGTTTTAGCTACAGAAAGGAGCGTGGAGAACATGTACGTGAAAGAAATGAGATACTTACCGCTAGGAATTAAGTATACGATATACATGACGCTGCGAGCAAAGTAGAGATGTAAATAAGTAACATAAAAGAGATACCATATACCTTGCGTATATGTGTACCTCAATAGCATTTTTATTGAAACGCCAGGCTAAGAAATCTTCATGAAACGCTTTTACTTATAACACATGATACATAACTGGGAACATATTAAGAGCATATTGGATTCTTGTAATAATCAAATTCATCAATTCGATTATTGGAATAGGAATCAAATATACTCTGATGTCATTTCCAATCGAAAATTACTGATTCTCGACTGATTTAGGTACTTAATAGTTTTATAATTCTCGGTACCGTAGTTCTAGAATGATATAAGATTCCAATAATTATCGAGAATTACTGATATTGAATGTAAGCACTGTAAATAAACGTGTACAACAATTTTTAAACAAAAATCTCCATCACTTTACATTCTTTACTTGATTTGTAGTTAAATAAAAAAATCTGATATCGGATTGCAATTTTGCCAAAATAAGGTTTACCACAGTGATCTCGCCCTTCGTCCTTGTTCACAACAAGGATGTATCGATACTGTCCACGTCAATTTTAGGACACAGGACAAATATTTACACAACGTTCTGTAGTCCCAAATTAAGCAAAGCTGTACTATGGGTACTAGATAACTGATAAACATACTTTTCTTTTTGTATATACACATATTATACAAATATAAACATCAAGACATTGGAAAAGCAGTATGTTCATCACACAATATTTTTCCAGTAGTGGCGATCGAACCCAAACCTCCTTGCGCAAGAGGCACGTTCACTACTCACTAGGCCATTCGGGTCATCGATGTCGAGTCCACGTGAATAATCAGGCAGTGGGTTTGTATCCTAAACTCACTACGGGAAATACAGATATTCAATTACTTGGCCGAAATTTATGGAGACCCGTCAATTACTGCTAATCCACAGGATCAACTGCTTTCACTTAATGCTATTTGAGAAATTTGATAATGCCACGTCATTAAAGCTAATCTCAGCGATTACGTTAATGGACAATTAATGTCAAGTCGTTATTAGTGGTGCAACGACAGTAACTGTTGGTGCAATATTGGTGCCATTAAAATGATTGGAGAATTCATTTTTCAAAACTATTTGCTCTTATAACAAAGTTTATAAAATAAACTAGATTTTTTTAAATACACTGATATTAGATTTTTCGTAATCATTTGCAGATTATAGTTTATTGCTGGAGATTTTTTTTACTTTTTTTAGTAGTTTTTGTAATGTGAACCAGAAATAATTAAACCACGTAGACCAACCTATCAGGGTTAGCGTTTGCCCTATTGGTAGTGTTGCACAACAAATTAGTAATATAAAAATAATTCGGTAATATTAAATATAAGTAATTAGTAATATTAAATAATAAGACGGTGACAGGAGGACAGGACAGGACAGATCAAGGAAGGAAAATTTGCTATTAAATAACTCAGGGGCTATCTTTGTCGCTAGAAGCGAAACTTGTTTTTTTTCTTTATTTATTGAATCATAATTTTGGTAGGAGGATTGAAATAACCGATCACGGTTTGCTGTGCTTTGCTGATCCATTCTACATAGCAACACATTAAGTTTAAAACCTTGGCAACTTTATTTATGTGTATTTGGTTTTAGAAGGAGCGTCTTCCAATACGCACAAAATATAACTGCACCTTTGCTCAATTCCATGGATACACAGAACATGATTTTTTTAATACTTTTTACACAACATTTCGCTTAACAGTTTTCTCACGCAAAAATTTTACAATGCGTGGCATGATGTGGTCACAACACTGCAATGATGTTTTTTGTGTCTTAGTCTGTAACTAAATTACCTTTACTAAGGTGGGGTTCGGCTGTTGCACGATTGGGCAGGCTTGTCCGGGCAAGTATAATAAATACTTTTGCGTTTCGTCTGGTGAGTGAGGTAGCCGGAGCCCAAAATTTAAAAGGCTGACAACGCATCTGCAAGCTTCGGGTGTAGCAGATGTCCATGGGCGTTGGTATACACTTAACATCACAAAGTAAACACTTAAGATCACGTGAACCTCCTGCTCGCTTGGCAACTTTAACATAAAAAAGGGCCACGCAACAGCTGAATTTCTCTTCGTAGTACCACGGCGTCACGGAAGACCGGAGTATTGAATCGTGTTGCGTCTGTTGAGTGATGTAGCCGGGCAACGCATTTGCAACACCTCGGATGTTGTGAATGTCCATGGGCGATGGTAAACACATAAAGTCTGGTGAACCGTCTGCTCGCTTGAAAACTTTTCACATAAAAACAACCGTTGTCCTGTTTTCATTACTTGTGTTAGGTAAAGTAAATTATTAGCCAGTACATGTCCCACTGTTGGGAAAAGCCTCCTCTCTACAGAGAGTATCAGGGCATAGTCCAACATACTGCCCCACTGCGGATTTTACATATTTTCGAAATATTTTTTGTGTTATAATTTTGAAAGTATGCATGTTTACTCACGATTTTTTTCATGCACGTGATGAGACACTTAAAATTAACAATTTCATTGGTGCCGGCACCGGGGATCGAACTCAGGTTACTGCAGTATATTGAATTAAAGGCGGCTATCACGGCTCTTTTTGCACCTGTTTTGGTTCTCTCTGTTGATACAACCTTTTGAATAATTAAATAAATAAAAAATTGATTGCAAGTTATAAAGGCGAAGCAAGAAAATAAGAAAAAATATTTCGCAACTGGATACTGGTTGCATCGAGCACGAGACGTTTCTAGCTGAGAGCGGCTAATTTGCCAAATAAATAATAAACAGCAAAGAACTCGGATTAAGAACTTCATGTCAAACATTTAATTTGTTCGTCTTAATTACGTCCCTCCAAGCTCTTGAATAGTGCACATTCCTTATTGAAAGTTGTGCAAAAGCCGGGAGCCATTGTCAAAGGACAGGTAGCTAGGTAAGTATTAGCTCAATAAAAATGAAAATCGCGACATCTTTTCGCACAACAATGGCCCGGTGAAAGTAAATGACTTCCTTTATCCCCGCATTGTTGTCGGTCGCCAGTTGCTCTATTATTGCTCTGAATTGTGGTGGCTCGACAAGGAGTTATAAGACACTGATTAAGGCCGGCCCTACATTACTTTGCGACACTGATAACACGTCCGTACTGTGTTCGCAGAAGGCAATTTTGTGTGTACTTATGTGTGACAATTTATTAACTGCGGTAGGGCCACGAAACAGTCTTCTCTGTTGCACGAATGGGCAGGTCCGTCCGGGCCTCACAGAAGATCGTCGTGAAGTGGAAATGTTATACTTCTGCGTTTCTTCTGGTGAGAAAGGTAGTTAGGGCCTACTTATTAAATTATAATATAATAGATGTTAAAAGGTATCAACCCATCTGCTACATTTTTAGTGGGTACTCCCGTACCTCTCACATACCCCTTCTGCCACATATCCACAAGGCGGGGGATTTAAAGGATTTTTCCAATGTAAAAGAAAAAAAAAAAGATCGAGTTTCATGGCAGTATGAGGAATGCCTATGCAGTGGACTCAAGCAGGCCGAAATGATGATGACGACGATTTCAATACGACAAGAGAAAATAATATAATTATACGTACACATCTAAACGTGTAGGCGAAATGAAAAATCGGTTTATTAAAGGAAACGGTTGCAGACAACCAAAGGCCAAGCCTCTCAAGTGAATGGTTCAAATTCATGAGGCGAGTTATTACCTCATCCGTCGCCTATAAGCTTCGTGGCATTTTAGGTGACCTTTAGGTACATTATATACCTCTTATCTTTATATGGTTCTATTTAACCTCGTACTATTTCATAATATGCAATTACTCCGTAAATCATCTATGAGAACATACTCGTATCGAATAATAAACTCGTACAATAAACATTTATCCATATTTTTCCTTTGGAAATTGAGTAATATTTTCGTTTCGAAGTAATATAAGCGTATTATTCGAAACGTATTTTTTAATTTATGTTTATGATGCTGTAAAAGGAGAAATAAAGTTCGTACGTTAAAACAGGCGGCGTAATTTTATTGCAATTTTTATCGCGTGAAAATTTTACTGGGGGCGTTTTATTCTGATAAATAATGAAAGAATTTTATGAAATAGATTTTTAAAGAAATACAAGAGTAATATTTAAAATTGCTTTCTCGTCCCAGGCGTAGTTTTATTTTCTGGAGCTGTAACTGTAATCTACCAATCCTCTTTGGAGCCGTTTGAAGGATAATGCCTATTATTGTCTTCGCATAGGCGGTTACTTAGTAGTAAATATACTTCTAAGTTTTAATATATACTCCAAATATATTATAATAATGAATTGCATGTAATGTAATGATTTTTTACAAGATTCTTGAAAATATTTAATGACTGAGCACGCCTTACTTCTAGTGGTAAGTCATTCCAGAGTCGCGCCCCTTGCACCATAAATGTCCTACTCATAAACGTATGTGTTTGTTTTGTAAAATTTAATAACTCGGTAAATATAGATGATTAAAGAATGTAAATGTTTAATACAATTTTAAAAAGTTATCCTCTCTAAGTGTGTTTATTTATTGTCGCGGTTGTAACAGCACGCTGTATATTTAGCGATGGTCCAAAACTATACAAGAATATGGCTCCATCTATAATATGTAATCGTTCGTTCCTAACACTGACATTCATGTGCCATCGAGCCTTCAGTCAACATCCATTGTCTATTGTAAATATGTCGAAATCGAATAAGTAAATGGAGTTAATTAATTAAAAGTGCGATATCGCACTTATATTTTTTAACGATTTTATCCTCAGAAGAAACTAAATACCATGGAATACGTTATTTGTCTGTTTATTCTTACATAGTTTTAACTATAAATATATATTTACATATGCCAGGAATTGAATAATAGTATGAAACAAAATATTGTATATTCTTTAAAGATATACTAATATCTTTAAAGAAGATTTATTTAAGAAGTTGTTGTAACTTTTGAGCGTAAACTGTTTCGCAATAAAAGTATGTTACCGGCTAAACATAGTTCATTTTTACGGACTATTCATTCTTTATAACCGTATTGGTCTCGATAAATACGTTTCCACCCTCCAAGTAAAAATCCGAAGGC